AACTCAAAATGGATAAAGGACCTGAACGTGAGACAGGAAACCATCAAAACCCTAGAGGAGAAAGCAAGAAACAACCTCCTTGACCTCAACCACAGCAATTTCTTACTTGACACATCCCCAAAGGCAAGGGAATCAAGAGCAAAAATGAACTATTGGGACCTCACCAAGATTAAAAGCTTCTGCACGGCAAAGGAAACAATCCATAAAACTACTTGGCAACCGATGGAATGAGAAAAGATAGTTGCAAATGACATATCAGATAAAGGGCTAGTATCCAAAATCTATAAGGAACTCACCAAACTCCACACCCTAAAAACAAACAATCCAGTGAAGGAATGGGCAGAAGATATGAACAGACACTTCTCCAAAGAGGACATCCAGATGGCCAGCAGACACATGAAACGATGCTCAGCATCACTCCTCATCAGGGAAATACAAATCAAAACCACAATGAGATAGCATCTAACGCTGGTCAGAGTGGCTAAAATGAGCAAATCAGAGGACTATAGATGCTGGCGAGGATGTGAAGAAATGGGCACCCTCCTACACTGTTGGTGGGAATGTCAACTGGTACAGCCCCTCTGGAAAACAGTGTGGAGGCTCCTCAAAAAATTAACAATAGAACTCCCCCATGACCCAGCAATAGCACTGCTAGGAATTTACCCAAGGGATACAGAAATGCTGATGCATAGGAGCGCATGTACCCCAAGGTTCATAGCAGCACTCTCAGCAATAGCTAAAACATGGAAAGAGCCTAAGTGTCCATCAATGGATGAATGGATCAAGAAGTTGTGGTTTAGCTATACGATGGACTACTACATGGCAATGAGAAAGAATGAATTCTGGCTATGTGTAGCAACGTGGATGGAACTTGAGGGTGTTATGCTGAGCAAAATAAGATAGGCAGAGAAGGACAGATACCATATGTTTGCACATATAGGAGGATTAGGAGGAAGTTAACGGAGGACCATTGGGGAGAAGAAGGGGAAAATAGTTGGGGAGAGGGAAAGAAGCAAACCATGAGAGACTCTTGAATGCCGAGAACAAACTGAGAGCAGATGGTGTGGGGGAGAGGGGAAGAGGGGTGATGGGCATGGTGGAGGGCACTTGTGGGGATGAGCACTGGGTGTTATATGGAAACCAACTTGACAGTAAACTATTAAAAAAATAAAAGAAAAAAAGGAAAAAACAGTCTCTTCAGCAAATGCTTTTGGAAAAACTGGATAGTGACATGCAGAAGAATGGAACTGGACCACTTTCTTATACCATGCACAAAAAAAAATTCAAAATGGATGAAAGACCTGAATGTGAAACAGGAAACTACCAAAACCCTAGAGGCGAAAATAGGCAAGAATCTCTTTGACCTCAGTCGCAGCAACTTCTTACTAGACATATCTCCAGAGGCAAAGGAAACAAAAGCAAAAATGAATTACTAGGACCTCATCAAGATAAAAAGCTTCTGCACAGCAAAGGAAGCAATCAACAAAACTAAAAGGCAACCAATAGAATATTGGAAATGATATTGGATAAAGGGTTAGTAACCAAAATCTATGAAGAAGTTATCAAACTCAACACCCAAAAAACAAATAACCCAGTTAAGAAATGAGAAGACATGAATAGACACTTTTCCAAAGAAGACATCCAAATGGCTAACAGACCATTGAAAAGATCCTCCACATCCGTCATCATCAATGAAATAGAAATCCAAACCACAATGAGATACCACCTCACACCTTTCAAAATGGCTAAAATTAACAACACAGGAAACAAAAGATATTTGTGAGGATGCAGAGAAAGGAGAACCATTTAGCATTGCTGGTGGGAATGCAAACTGGTACAGCCACCCTGGAAAACAGTATGGAGGTTCCTCAAAAAATTAAAAATAGAACTATTCTACCACCCTCGAACTATTCTACAACTACTAGGTATTTATCCAAAGGACACAAAAATGCTGATTTGAATGGGCACATGCACCCCAATGTTTATACCATCCCTGTATCAACAGTAGCCAAAGTATGGAAATAGCCCAAATGTCGACTGGTGAATGGATAAAGAAGAATGGGTATATATATATACACACACACATACACACACACATACAATGGAATATTACTCAGACATCAGAAAGAAAGAAATCTTGCCATGTGCAACAACACAGATGCAACCGGAGTGTAAGTGAAATGAGTCAGTCAGAGAAAGACAAATATCCTATGATAAAATATAAAGAATCCATAGAACCTGTTAAATTATGAATTAAATAAAGGGAGTAGAAAAGGAAAGAATCTAGCCAGATGGATAGTTAGGATGAGTCGAAAGACTGCAGAGCTCCTTATAAGGACTGAAAACCCAGGAGCAGGCAGGATTGGAGGGGAGGATGCAGTTTAATTTAGGCAAAATGAGTTGAGGCACCTATACCCAGGTAGTAATACATTTGTCTGAAGACCCTTTTTCCCACAAGCCATGTTAAAAAAGGGCCTTAGGGTAGTAAATCACATAAAAAGAAGCTAGACATTCATTCTGATAACCTGTTTAAGCAATATTTAGTCTATAGGAGTTTTTAAGCAATAAGAAAATTTAATTACATCACAAGACTTTAAAGGGAAAGTTTATTAACCTAAAAAAAAAATACTAGGTTTGTTCTAGTTTTACAATTCTGATCTTATGGAAAGAGGTTTGTCACTTAATTCTTAAATTGATCAGTATCAAAACTCATATTGCCTTGACTGAATGCTTCACATGTGTTAAAGGTACAAGGGCAAAAACAGTCCTCTGCAAAACAGTGAGAAGGTCCAACCACGTTTTCAGCCCTTCCTACCTCACAAACCAAGTCATTATCATTTTCTTTCTAGAAACCAAGTGGCCTCAAATTCTTTCTACCTCCATCCCATCAAAATAAATCCTCAGGACATAATAATAAACTTCTAAAAAACAAGGTATAAATTTGTGATGATCCTAGTAAATTACCTCCCCAAAGTATACTTGCATTTTTACAAAAGAAAAACCTTAGGAAAAAGAATCAGATGTTAGTCTCGGGCTGCTCAAGCAGGCAGAAGGAGAAGCTTTTTCAAATCCTCAAGTGTATACTAGTTAGGTGGCTAGCTGACTCATCCAATATTTCCATACCTGTCTAGGTGTAGTTTAAGACTTGCAGAAAATAATATATGGCCAGATGGAAAAATGAACATTATTCTCCTGAAATGGAAAAATGAATGTTTCCTAATTGGTCATCTTGAACTAGGTAGCTTCCTATCTCTCCTGGTCTGGCTACTTTTCCCCATATCCCAAAGCTCCAATCTCAAAGTGGCCCACATCACCAAGCACTGGGCGTTGGGCATTATTTTTTAACCTAGGACCGGTTACTGTGTCTACAACAGACCTGGAAAAGGTTTTTTTTTTTCCTTTGAAATATGTCAGTCTTCAAATATATTCTTTACACAAAGGAGTAAGATGTATAAACAAAGTTTCTGTCCTCTGCACAGAGATCAGCAAAAAACAGAGATGTGGTTTTTACTCATGGCTGAATTGAAAGGCAATTGCTAAGGGTGACTTAAAAAAAAAAAAAAAAAACGACTGGGAAACAACTAAACTGATTAATTCAAATCCTAACCCAGCTCTCCTTCAGCCTGTATTTGATAAAATATTTTTCTTTTTTTTAATGTTTGTTTATTTTTGAGGGAGAGAGACAGAGTGTGAGGGGGAGAGGGGCAGATAGAGAGGGAGACACAGAATCTGAAGCAGGCTCCAGGCTCTGAGCTGTCAGCACAGGGCCCGATGCAGGGCTTGACCTCACGGATCACAGGATCATGACCTGAGCCAAAGTCAGACACTTAACCGACTGAGCCACCCAGGTGCCCCAACACAACAGTTTTCAAAAAGAAAGAAAATCAACCACACAAGCCCTGCATATGCTAAAAGCCTAGGACCGTGAATTTGATTTCCCCTACAAGTGGTTCACCTTCAACAGTTTTTACTTTGAGGGACACCAGTGACTTCCCACGATGTGGGCTTCTACATCGTGGTTGGGTCCTCCTATGTCCCCACCACCCCCAAGCTCCACAGAAGAAACAGAGTCAGCAAACAATTTCTAGTCTACCCCTTATTGGTTCCTTCGCATAGAATACAGCCAGCTTGCCACACAAGCAAGCCACAAGATCTAGACTTGGACATGACGAAGAAAAAGTAGCAGGAGTCACGTCCTGTCTGTGGATCCAAGCTTCACGTTTCATTCCAGCCTGAACACTAATAAATCTGCCGCTGCTGTCCTTTTACTCTCGCTAGGTCAAGAACTGAATAATTATGTTCTCCAATCTACCTCTAAACTAGATTACATAATGCATACATTAGGCTTTAAGCTTTACACTTTTGAGTCACTTATCATTACACTTTTTTTTCAAAAAGACACTCTTCAGAAGGTCATCAAGTGTTTTGAGCTATAAAAATAGGTCCAGAGTTCCCAGGTCTCTGGCCAAACTTAATCCTGATGCAAGACTCTCCACTAAGCTAGGAAATTGCCTATACTCTAAGCTCAGCAGTGATGCAAAACATATCTGTGGGTCACCAAAGCCACTTTCAAACTGAACTGCCTGATGACTGTAAAGAATAGTGCCTTAAAAATGTCATAAAAGCTATTAAAAAACTGGAGAAGAGAAAACTGTTTATTCCAAACAAATGTCTTCACTTTGTCCAGAGCGAAGGTTTCTGTGAGATAAGACCCTGAATTAAAACAGCACATAGGCCAAGGTTACTGCCCATGTAATAAAATGTCAGACTTAAAAAAGAGAGTAATCAGGGACTCCGTTTGAACCTTGATTCCATAAATCAGTCACTAAACTCAACAACCTCATTGCATCTTAGCAGAAACTAAAAGCAGATTAGTTCCTAAAATCGAAAATAAGAAATGAAGGCAAAAAGAATGTCAGGTCCTAAGGCCCCCAGCATCCTCCCGACCACCCCCCCTCCTTCCCACCACCACCATCACCACACACTGAGACTCTCCATACCTTATCATTAGCCTCAGGCTCCTATCAAGCTCATAAAGGGTATTCTTCACAGGATTTCCTCCCCCTGCTTTCTCTTTCTTTCAGATCATTTGGTTGATCTAAAATTCACAGTTGGTGAGAACATCTGAAAAACTTTTAATAGGATAACATATTACTAATCTGATTCTGGTGAACAATTAAACATTTCTAACATCAGGCTGATTTAACACGGTAAATGGTCTGCATATTCAAAGAATTAATGAGCAATTCTCTCTAAATTAAAATAGGCAAAAGTTTCTCCCCCAAGATTCTTATAATAAGAGTCTTAAATAATATGAAAGGGAATCTGGTGTTTCATTTCTTTTCCAAGACATAGCATCAAATAAGTACCATATTTTAACAGCACAAAAAAGGAAAAAATAAATCAGATCTTTCCTACCACTGTCAATTTAAAGATTTAAATATAACCTGAGTTTTAGCCATCAACTGTTGATTAGGTAATTAACTTATTTGTATCTCAGCAACTTGGCTGTAAACTGGAGGCGGACCTTGTTCAGGTGATGCATGTCAACTATATATGTACAAATAGGAAAATAAGAAACTTACTTTTTCCGGGGCGCCTGGGTGGCTTAGTCGGTTAAGCATTCGACTTTCGCTTAGGTCATGATCTCGCGGTTCATGGGTTCGGGCCCCGCGTTGGGCTCTGTGCTGACTGCCAGCTCAGAGCCTGGAGCCTGTTTCAGAGTCTGTATCTCCCTCTCTCTCTGACCCTCCCCTGCTCATGCTGTCTCTCTCTCTCTCTCCTAGAAATAAATTTTTAAAAAAAAGAAAAAAAAAGAAACTTGCTTTTTCCTATTGCAAATAAGAGAAGCATTTCCCCTTTCCCTCTTTTTCTCCAAGAACTTAACTAAGAAGACTTGCCATCCTAAGTACTTGCTCCTCTCTTTGAAATGTCTAGAAACCCTTTTGAAAACTAGCTTGGCATTTTGTCAGCTTTCTAACCTAGGAATATCTTTCTCAAGGACCTGGGAGCTACCTCCTTTAAAAACACAAACATCAAGGGAGATAGCACCTCTAGATCCTAGTTTCTGTGAGAGAGGAGGAGTCTACTTTCAGTAGATGCCTTGCTCCAGTGGCTGAACTACCTCCTGTAATAGATGACAAGTCTGGTTTTTCTGTAGATAAAATAATTAGCTAACACAGATGGTCACCTCAATCAATAGGTGAAGAAAGGAAGGGGCACCTGGGTGGCTCAGTTGGTTATGAAGCCAACTTCGGGTCAGGTCTCATACATAGCTCAGGAATTTGAGCCCCACGTTGAGCTGTGCTGACAGCTCAGAGCCTGGAGCCTGCTTCAGATTCTGTGTCTCCCTCTCTGCCCCTCCCCTACTCACATGATCGCTCTCAAAAATAATTTTTTTTAATTTTTTAAAATAGGTGAAGAAAGGATGAACTATGGAGTGAAAACCGGTATTGTCAAATCCTCTGACCTGGGAACTAGTTATTGTATATCTTGCAAACATATATATGTTTGCAGGTCATCTCTGCATGGGTTGGCAAAAAGGGTGAGATTTCTTTCCACCTTTTGTAACCAGTTAGTGGACTGACTGTAATATGCCTCAAATTCTAGTTTAATGCTCCTTCGATAATAAAAGTGTTTTCGTGGGGCACCTGGAAGGCTCAGTTGGTTGAGCATCTGGCTTTTGATTTTGGCTCAGGTCATGATCCCAGGGTCATAGGATGGAGCTCCAGGTCAGCCTCCAGGCTGGAACCTGCTTAAGATATTCTTTCTCTCTCTCCTCCTCCTCCTCCTCCTCCTCCTCCTCCTCCTCCTCTCCCTTCCTCATGCTCTCTTTCTAAAATTTAAAAAAAAAAAATCCTTAGAGCGTTTTCTATCTCTACTACCTTTGTGGAAAGGATTCTTGGGGTGGGAAAAGATTTTGTTTTTAATTGTATTTCCTCGATACACAGAAAGAGCTATGGACAAACCTTCCATGTGACATGTGACCATGGCCAGTTTGGGGTTCCAAAAAGGAGCAACTAAATGGACCACTTTGGCTTCACTCTTTCAACTGAATAACTAACTCAACTAAATATTAGGTATACATTCAATATGTAATAAAAATCTATTGGTTGATAAGACATGCTATTATAAGGGTACCACTATTCCTAAATTTGCTGGGTTTGGTTTTATGTGATTTTAATTAAACAATCATCTCCTATAATGGCTCTCTATTAATTTTGTATGTCTGTCCATAACAGAGGTCATAAACTAGTCAGATCATAAACAGTGACTAATACAAGTTCACAGGAGGGCTTGGTTTGCCTCCACTGTGTTTTAAAAGAAGTTAAATTCGAATGTCTTTAGGTTTATGAAATCTGCCTTAGAAAATCATCATCCTCCTTATTATCATCAAGGAATTAGCTAATACCACACTGTCTGCTTTGTATCAGGTACTCCTAGTGCTTTTGCATTAATTTCCTTACATCTCACAACCGCTATTGGGTGGGTCATAATACAATCCCCATCTTACAGATGAGTGGCTGAAGCATAAAGTTAATTACCCGGGCTCGCAGGATTTACAAAATAGGGAGCCAAATTCAACCCAGTCATCTGGATCCTTGGCCAAGGGCTTTAACAGTAATACCACAATGCTGCTCATGACCAAAAGCCCTAAGTTCATCACCCTGCCTAAGGGATGCACACTTTCCCTAATTGTTTCTAGTTTTTCAAAGTCTGATTCTGTTCCTACAGGGTTCTCCTTAGGTATGTGTCTGGCTTCTAAGTACTGTTGACTCATATTTTTAATGCTTAGAATTTTTTTTAATGTTTCTCTATTTTTGAGAGAGAGACATAGAGTGCAAGTGGGGAAGTGCAGGGAGAGAGGGAGATACAGAATCCAAAGCGGGCCCCAGGCTCTGAGCTATCAGTACAGAGTCCAGTGTGAGGCTCGAACTCACGGGCAGCAAGATCATGACCAAGCCGAAGTCAGACGCTTCACTGACTGAGCCACCCAGGCGCCCGTTGAACACTTAAAATATTAGCTGCAGTCCCAGAAATGAGGAAGGACATACAAAGTCAAAGAAACCTGTGAAGAAGTGTCCCATGCTGTGTCACTTCCTGCCCAGACATAACATTTTTTACAACCATTGAGATCCCACACTGGTTAAAATCAGCAGAATGATTATCTGCTCGCTGCGGTTAAAGACACCTGGTATTTTTCATAATGTTTCACAGAGTAAAATAATAAATCTACTGTGCATAACAGTACTTCTCTTGGACAGTACCTTTATCAAAATAATCAGGAAGATTCTCCAGCAGTCAGAGGGGCTGATGTTAACATTCACGTAGGGCGGGAGAAAAGATGAGGGCCTGAGGAGGATGTGCAGTGGTCCTGTGGCTGGAAACCAGGAGAAGCCAGGAACCATCACCATCAAGGCGGGGAAGAATGCCACCCAAGCAAACCAAGAAGATAAGAGCATTTCTCTGCGTTAAGAAAAGACTGGTGGGAAACTGAAAGCCCAGGCCTGCCCCTTGGGCTCTGTATGTTTAGAGTCCAAACATACAATTTCTTAGAGGTGCAGAAAACTCTACACTAAAAACTTAATGGAAACCTGGCCCTACCCCTGATGTGTCTGGCAGAGGCAAAGGTAGGACCATTCCAAAGAAAAACTCCCCGAATCCATGGGGCGCCTGGGTGGCTTAGTCGGTTAAGCGTCCGACTTTCACTTAGGTCATGATCTCGCGGTTCGTGGGTTCGAGCCCCGCGTCGGGCTCTGTGCTGACTGCCAGCTCGGAGCCTGGAGCCTGTTTCAGTCTGTGACTCCCTCTCTCTCTGACCCTCCCCTGCTCACGCTGTCTCTCTCTCTCCTAGGAATAAATAAAACATTAAAAAAAAAAAAAAAAGAAAAACTCCCCAAATCCAGGCCACAGGGAATTTTCACAGGAAAAAACAAAAAACAAAACAAAAAAAAAACCAAGCTACTCAAAAATAACCTCACATTTTAAAGTCATGAAACTCATGAGGAAACAATTGCTTAGGATACATGAATTCTCAGACTAAAGAAACACAAGCAGCATAAATAAACATAAAAGACTATGCAATGCCTAAGACAAAGGAAATATCTTTAAGTTTAAAACTCCCTAGCTCTTTAAGGTAAAGTGTACATTTTTGACATCTGTTGTTATTTCTTAACTTTCAACATAATATAAACTTTAAATCTTCAGAGACAATCACCACTAAAGAAAAAATTATTTTGAAATCTGATTTCTTTCATGGAAGTTTTTTTAATATACTCTATTGTCAAATTGGCTTATAAACACCCAGTGCTCATCCTAACAAGTGTCCTCCTCAATGCCCATCACTGATTTTCTCTTCCCTTCTCACTCCCATCCATCCTCAGTTTGTTCTCTGTTATTTAAGAGTCTCTTGTGCTTTGCCTCCCTCCCTCTCTGTTTGTAACTGTTTTTTCCCCTTCCCTTCCCCTATAGTCTTCTGTTCAGTTTCTCAAGATCCACATAGAGTGAAAACACATGATATGTGTCCTTCTCTGACTGATTTATTTCATTCCGCAAAATACCTTCCAGTTCTAATGGAAGTTTTTTTAAAATGCCTTATAAAAAAATAATTGTTATAGCTCTCCCTGCATTACTCTTACCCATTCTTGGAACTAATTCAAGTCAAACTTCAAGATTTTTCATTATTACTTAGAAATGGCAGACTCTAATCAAAATACGGGGCTCAATTTCATTTGGCACTTGGATCTACACAATATGAAAGAGAAAGTTATGCATGTTAGGACAAAGAAAACTCCCTTTGTCTTCCTCTGAGAAAGTTGGTAGAAATTTTTTTTTTTAACATTTATTCATTTTTTTGAGGGAGAGAGCAAGTGGGGTCAGGGCAGAGAGAGAGGGAGACACAAAATCTGAAACAGGCTCCAGGTTCTCCACTGTTCCATTGAGCCTGATGTGGGGCTCAAACTTACAAAGAGCAAGGTCGATAACCTATGCCAAAGTCAGATGCTTAACCAAAAGAGCCACCCAGGCACCCCAGAAAAATTTATTTTTAATTTAAAATGCAGTTCTTTGATTCAAGTCTTCTCCACTCAGGCACTAAAAATTGGCATTCTTACAAGCATTTATGTAAAAGTTCATGCTGTGTTTACCTTTACAATAAGTATATGCCCAGTATATATTTACTGTGTGTTTATCTACACAAAATTCTGAGCCTGTGTGTCAGGTTAGAGGCCAGGACTGAAGACAGTTATTAGCAACTAAACAAAACACAGAGATAGCATTCAAAGTTAAGTTCTCCAAGGGGTGAGTATATACAAAGAACAGCAGAGTCTAAGGCTTAAGAGGGTCATTAAAGTTCACGAGCAAGAGGAAAAACCGAAACCAAAGACAAAAATGAGCATGAGTAAAACACAAAATATAATGTCAGATCACTGGGAGGCCAGGGCCACTGAATCTGGTGACTGGAAAATCACTGGAGACTCTCATTAAACAACAGAAATCAGAACAGTTACAAACAAGAAAAAAAAAATGACTGGTAAGGAAATGGAACCAATTAGTAGAAAATATTCATTCAACACATTTAGCAACAAAGAAAGATGATGGCAGCAGTGAGGAGAGCAAAGGGTCACAAGA